CCATCCCCACCCAGTCCTCAAACAGGCCACGCTCAGCTTTTTAGCGCAGAGCAACTTCCCGGAGTCTTCACGGAGACTTCAGGGTTGTCTACCGCTGACGAAGCTTCTGTGAGAGAAGCGAAACGTCCTTTTTTGCTTTTTTGTTTTTTACCCACAGGTACAGATGACGACTGACAGAACCCTTTCTACGATGGAACTTTCCTGTACGACTGAGAGCCTCCACAAGCATGTCAATCAAAAAGAGATTCCGCCTCAGACAGATCATCCAATCATCATGCAGAAAAGCTCAGCGTCCGGGCGGGCGGATACCCGCCCACTGTCCATAGACTCCCAGAGACGCTGAGCGTCCAGTGGGCGGGACAAAACCTGCATTTATCCAATGACTCGTCTTGTTTCAATGCATTGGGACAACCCACGCTGAACTCTCGAGACGCCCAGCGTCCACACACTTTAAAGCACAGTGAAGCTGCGGGAATGAATAAGAAGAGAGTCGCGTCGTAACCAGTAATAAGAAGCTGATTCGGAACAAAGTTGAGCGCGTTGTAGCGCATATTTAGTCAATGACATGTCCACACGATTGTACGTACACACATATATTTGATCACTTACTTTTTGACATTTTAGGGGAAGCCGCACTTCCCTTGCAGTCTTAGAGCAATCGCCTGTGGTTTGGACACAACGGATGTACCTCAAGAAATGATTGCAGATAAAAGGGCGGCGGCTGTCTTCGTGTTATATGCTGTTTCCAGGCATGAAATGTGAACTTGAAAAGTTAGATGATGTGAACATCTTGTTTCCACCCACGTTCTAATCCGTTTTGTGTCCTCTTCAGCAAATGAAGCGGTGCAGCGTAGTGTTGGACCGTCTCAGTGATAATTCCGTGAGAAGAGAATCCGAGGAGAGAGACGACATGAGCCGCAAAAGCGCCAAGCCCGCCTCCCGCATCCCGACGTTCCATAAGCGGCCCGCTGTTGTGAGCGCAGAGCTGCCAGTCTCCAAAAAGGAGCCCCCTGTCACTGTAGTTCAGCCTGCCGACAAACTTGCAAGTATTGACGCATCAAAGTCCAAATTAGCTGATATTCGCGAAAAAATACATCTCCAGTCATTAGTCCGCACCCCTAAAGTTGTCTTTGAGGCCCCCACCAGCCTGAGCAGCACAGAACAAACGGCTGCAGGGGCTGCCCCCAAAAGCTATGTGTTGTCGGAGGCTTTACAGCCCAGTCTGATGGTCAGCCCCAGGCCTGCCCTCAGAGCAGAGGAGAGTCTCTTACCAGGGGAAAACAATATCCCATACACCGAGATTGATTGCGCCACAAGCCACCTTCCGTGTGTGGACCCACTCACCCATGATGCACCTGGGGAAGAAACTCCACAAAGTCCTTTTATTGCAGCAAAAATGAATATTCCTCTTGGAATGTCCAAAGAGCTCACTTGCAAACCTCCCGTTAGCCAAACGGAGGCTATTGTGGATGAAAGACCACCATGGGAAAGCCAAGGTCCAAATGCAACTGAGTCAAAGGACTTAAGATCTTCAGACATAGATAGCGAGGATGATCAGGCATTGGATGATTCCGGCAGTGCGAAGGACCTCCATGAGCCGGAAGCGAGCGAAATGGACAGCGAGGATGTCGCAAAGGAAGAGGCTGTAATTGATGACGAATCAGCCTGTCCTGTGGTAGCGGAGCGGCCCTCCGAAGCTCCATTATCGAAGTCAACCCAAGTGAGTTTCATGCTTTCTAGGCACTGCGTAGCCACTCCCTCAACGGTGTCACTGCTTAGCTTGTCCAATCTTATTTGCTCGTCACCGCGTCCCTTCCAGGGTTGATCAAAATAATCTAACTGCCGCCACCAACACCCCGTTGCGTATTGCTTCCATGTACCATGTTGAGCAAAAACCCTGACTCTTGGATTAATATTCACTTACAGTTGTTAACACTTGGACGTGCAGTCTTTGGAGCGGTCACTATGACAACGTCACAAAATTCTACCAAACAAGTGTGTCGTATGGATATGTCAGGAAATCATAAATGGTTACAACAACAATGCAAACAAATCTTTGGCATTGTCATTTCATCCAACCACCCATTTTCTAATGAGTTTATCATCACGAGGGTGGCGGGTGTTCTGGAGCCTGTCCCAGCTATCTTCGGGTAGTAGACGGACCCGAAATTGGTTACCAGCCAATCGCCGGGCACACATAGTCGAACAACCATCCGTGCTCACGCTCATACCTAGGGTCAATTTAGAGCGTTCAATCAGCCAGCCATTCATGTTTTTGGAATGTGGGAGGAAACCGGAGTACCCGGAGAAAACCCAGGCAGGCCCGGGGAGAACATGCAAACTCCACACAGGGAGGCCAGAGCCGGGATCGAACCCACCACCTCTGCAATGTGAGGTCAACGCGCTAACCACTCGACACCGGGCTGCCCAAACATTTCATGTTTCATAAAATATTGATATGTAAACATGTAGACTGCACCCCTTGTAGTGCATAGGACATGCACAAGCATTGAACTTCTGAATTCTACTACATTGTGCTGACAATTTAAATTCAATTACCGTAATTGTTGAACGATAGTCCCTTCCTCACTAGACTTCCGAGTTCACCTAATATGGAGAGAACCAGATTCCTGTGAAATTTTTTTGTAGTCAATATAAAGATTAGATTTAATTAGATTAAAAAAAAAATGTGCCTGACACTGATTCCGATATTTGACAGACTAAAATTCCAATACCCGATTAATCGCCCAAATAATAATTTTTAAAAAATTATATATGTGTACATATAGAATGAATAAAATATATATATATTTTTTTGACAATGAAAATATGAATTACAGGCAGAACATTTGGCCATTTTTCAATACTTTGGGGAGACGTAATTAGCTACAGGAGTTTGTCCACACCCTGCACAAATACCTTTGGAACGCTAACACATTCCAAAGATGTTTGTCAGTCTTGTCGCTAAGATCTTGTTCATTTTCACTCACTGTTCCCTTCAGGTTTAAAAAAAAAAAAAAATGCCCATCTCTTTGCAGAGATCCCGATGCGGTGGCTTCGGCCTCTTCTTCTTGCTCCCGGCCACTCTGCTGCTTCTTGGTATGCACGCGTGGCGCTTTGGCCTTCCCATGTCGGTCAGCCAGCTCGCTGCTCATCTGGAGCTGCACTGGCTGGAGGGCATTAGCCCCATCACAGAGCAGTGTAGCAGAGATTGCAGGTGAGCAATTGCTCTTGCCGTATTTCCGGTCACGTTGCTTATTTACAACAGAAATGAAACGTGGGGGGGGCAATTCCCTTGTTGGATGGCCCGTCAATGTGCTTCACATAACGTAATTAAAAACACAGCATTTAAAAGCATTTACAACCAAAAGAGCCGTACTGGGTTTATTTGCATTTCAAATGAGTTTTACATGTTCAGAGTTCATCTGGTGGAGAGCATCCCCGTGGGTTTATACCCATCCAGCCCATCGCCGCAGCAGAGCACGACGGCCACCTGGCTGAGGCTGCTGGACAAGGCCAACGGCTCGGTCAGCATCGCCGGGTACTACGTGTCACTGAGGAGCAACGATCCCGAGTTTGCCGGATTGCTCGACACTCAGGCAAGAAGAGCGGCACGGGGCCTCATGTGACAGTCGTCCCCGCCCTCTGATGTCACGTCATATGTTTACAGGGCAGGCAGGTCTTTGAGCAACTGAAGCAACTCCCTTCTAAACACGTGAACCTCAATATAGCCGTGAACAGCCCTCAGACGTTGACTTGGGACACGAGTGAATTGGCTGCGGCAGGTATATCAAGACCTCGCCGTTCGAAACGTTCGCATGACCTCGCGCTGACAATTGCAACTTTTGTTTTTTGATCAGGTGCCAAGATCAGGGAGGTTGATCTGAAGTCTTTATCTGGAGGTATCTTGCACACTAAGATGATGGTGATTGATCAGAAGCACTTCTACTTGGGTAGCGCCAACATGGACTGGTGCTCTTTGAATCAGGTAAAAGGGAGAAGAGGAGCTTTTTTTGTGTGTATTTTTTGAACACTTTGTGCTTCCAAGGTGAAGGAGGTGGGCGTCGCCGTGGAGGATTGCGGCTGCCTGGCTCAGGACGCAGCTCGCATCATTGAGGTTTACTGGAGCCTCAATGGATCCCTGCCGCCGTATTGGCCAGCTCGCTTCACGGCCCTGTCCAGCTCCGAGCATCCTCTGCAGGTCAACTTGAATGGAGTCCCGGCGCGAGTCTACTTGTCCGTGGGTTCAACCGTCACTTTTGAAATACGTCACTTTTTGAAGAAGTCGGTTGAAATTTCTCAATCTCTCACTTCTTGGCTTGTCTCTTCTCCAGAGTGCTCCGCCGCAGATCTCAGCGCGCGGACGCTCAGGCGATCTCTCCACCATCTTGTCCGTCATCGAAGATGCTCGGGAATTCCTTTACGTATCTGTCACAAACTACCTTCCTCTGTCTGAGTTCACCGAGCCACTCAGGTTACCGACTCCTTATTTGTCTGTCTCAATCGTCATAAGCCTGGCAATATGTATTCTATCGAATTAGCTGTTTGTTTGGACAGCTCTAATTTAGTGTTATTACCACACAGTGGCGAGCTATGTCTGCATTTCGCAATACACCATTCACATATGACGAGAATTTTTCTAAAACTCAAAGTGTCTAGAATTCAGTGCCAATCAAATGTTTTGTGAACTGATTTACCGTATCTCACAAAAGTGGGTTCACAACTTGCATTTTTATAAGTGCTTTATTATATTGTTTCATTGGACAACACAGAAGAAATGACACTTTGCAACAAAGTGAAGTCGTTCGTCAGGCCAGAAGGCAGGTGGTCGTTTTGTATTTGTTTAATTTTACGTCTGAGAGAAAAATTTGTAGTTTTCTTGTTGCGGGGGAGTTCGGGAACGGGTTGTGTGTCATTATCTCTGTATTATGCTCTAATGTGTAAATATTCTTTTTAGATAAACAAAAAAAAAAAATCTGCCGACGATTCCAGATTTTTAAAGACCTAATATGGGCCGATTAAATCAGGCGGCCGCACAATCGGGCCTTAGTAGTTAGTGTGCAATTTATATAACAGTGGACTGGGACATCTATCACAGAGTAAGTCGACATGTAATCATTCATGTCTGAACCGCAAGCAACAAGTGTGATTCGGCCTCTTCGTGAAAATGTCCAAAGTGAATATTTTGCATGGCTGCCATTATTGCCCAGCAGTGCTTTTACCCCTTAGTTCTATGGACAATAATGGCTGTGTGTTGACTTATTGGGAGTGAAAAATGAACTTTTTATGATCACAGTAAACGTTTTATATAGGAGCTGTATACTAATTACATTGTAACAAAGTCATCATTGTTGTCCCATGAGAAATAGATTTTTAAAAGTTAGTCAGTGAGCCCCACCTCCATGCTTGGCTCCACAGGGGGGCCCTGGTGATCTACATCGGGGCAAAGGAAACCGAGGTTCATATATTTGACTCATCATCAAATCAAGTCAAGTACAACTTTATTGTCGAATGTACACAGATGAAATTTCTTCCCTCTCAAGACAACATAAAACGAGGAGCCGCTGCGGGTGCCCGCGCCGCCATCAAAAGAAAAGTTAACATAAAATGACAAAATAATACAAGACAACACCTGAGACACAGACAATCGTGCAATCTTAACCACTTTCCTGCATACACTTTGTTGTCTGAAGCAGTTACAGATGAAAGAGGAGCGAATCAAATCAAATCATTCGGGATAATTTGAGCCGTGCTTTGTCTGGTCCCTCACCCAGGACCTGTTTGCCATGGGTGACCGTGCCCGGGGCATCAAGCCCTCGACAACTTAGCTCCTAGGATCAGTGGGACACACAAAAACCTCTCCACTACGGTTAAGGTGACGGAGTATTAGCAGTGCCGAATAAAAAAATTGCTTTCACAGCCCCCGACGTGGGACACGCCAAAGCAGAAATGTCCAAACTCGGTCGTCAGGGGCCGAAGTCCTGCCTGTTTTCCATCCCTCCCTGCTGAAACGCAGCCGGTTCAAAGGATCAGCTTTGAAGCTCTGAAGAAGCAAGCTAACGATCCTGAGTGTGTTGCATCAGGGAGGGATGTAAACAAGACAGGACATCGGCCCTTGAGGACTTGAGTTTGGACCCCCCTGCACCAAAACAATGCAACGGTGTAAAAATGCTCCACGTTGAGACCGTGTTGGTGGTGTCCCACCCTCAGGTTCTGGCCCGCCATCGACAATGCCCTGCGCGCTGCAGCCTGCACGCGAGGTCTGAAAATCCGTCTCCTGGTCAGCTGCTGGCAGGAATCGCCTGCCGCCATGTTCACCTTCTTGCAGTCGCTGCTGGTTCTCAACAGGCCGCCGATGAAATGTGACATTGAAGTGGTGTGTAATGGAACTTCATGATTTGGCAAACGGGTGAAGCTTTTGTCACACTGGGCTATTTGACAATTCCTGGAATTTGGCAAACTTCTGGCAGTAAAAATCTGAACCTTACCTTTTTTTTTTTGTTTGTTTCAACGCAGAAAATTTTTACAGTGCCTTCAACAGCAGAGCAGATGAAGCTCCCCTTTGCTCGAGTCAACCATGCCAAGTACATGGTCACAGACAGAGTCTTCTATATCGGTCAGTCTGTCATTCCTCCTCTTGACGCAGCCATTCCCGCAGATGACAGTAATTACGTTTTCCCCATGTGGACAGGCACATCCGACTGGTCCGAGACCTACTTCACCCAGACCGCCGGAGTGAGTTTGGTGGTGAACCAGACCGACTCCGAGGTCAAACGAGGCCAGCGGACTCTGCAGAGCCAAGCAGAAGAGCTCTTCCTCCGAGACTGGGGCTCCCATTACTCAAGCTCGCTGTCGGCCGCCGACGTCAGAGTCTGCCCTCGCATACCACACTGAATTATTGACGGGATTTTCTTTGCTGTCTCTCCATCTTCATCGCTTCCTTTTTCTATTTTGTGACGGGCGCGGGGAAACTTTTGTGTATAATTGCTATTCTTATGGTTGCTTTCAAATCCTATTTTTGTACAGTTTGTGTACTCAGTGTTACCAATCTGAGCTGTACAGTTTGTCTTTTTTTTTTTTTTTTTTTTTTTGCCTGGAGCAATTTGTATATGTTCTGCAAGTTATTTCCCATTAATTTCAAAATGCAACGCATTGCATTTTTGACCTTTTTTCTCAAACTGCAGCATTTTGAAAGTGTGTTTACCTCCACAGCATCCACAGTGGACCGATTGAGCTACCGGTAATTGGTCAGTTCTTGTGGCAAAACTTCCAGTATGCATGGGTTTAATTGAGCGGGAGTTTTGATTTGTCTTTGCTTCGAGAGCCATCTAGGATGTTTCCAAGCACTAGGTCAGGGCAGATAAACGTGGTTTTCAAAAAACTATTGATCCTCTGTATCATTTGATGATTTAAGGAATGTCTCGAAATCAAATGTGACCATCTCATCATGTCATCATAGTTGCCATATTGCATTTGAATGCAATCGCTTATGACGGAACATATCTCATGTGTGCAAAAATAAGGGACCTGGATGTATAAACATGTTACTGGAGTTTTCACTGAATAAAGTACATGTTTATTGCACTTAAAAACATTGAATTGTACTTGGAGCAAATCTAACACACACTCTATGTTACATCATTTATTCACTTACGTACTCTCAGCATGTGACAAAAGTTTCTCAAGTGACAACTGGCTCCTCACTGATTCATGTCACTGGTCGGGTCTTCTCCATGCATCACTGCAAAAGAACCGGCCTAAATAAAGAATTGGACTGTTCGTCATTCTCTTGTCCAGACAAGACCTGTTATTCCATGGAAAGCTGAACACTGTCTGTCTGGCCTTGATGCTGCTGCTGATCATATTTACGAGCTGGAACACAGAAAAGAGGACTTCAGGACACCACAAAGGATTCTTCGCCAGTGCTGTGCAAAATTATCCAATTTCACTCATGGGTCAGAATTGTTTGCGACAAAAATATTTTTGCTCAACATGGTACATGGAAGCACGGACAAGACAGAAGTTAGGACATTTTCGTTAAGTGATTTACCGGGAGATCATTTCTAAAGTGCACAATAAAGGTTGGGAACCATTGAATTCAACCGAGAAGCAAAATTGATACCAACCTAGAGAATACATCTCCAACTGTTGTCTCAGACGGACTTTCTGCAGGCTGTCATAGAAGTTGGGCTCTGGGCTGCTCCCAGCGCTGGGAGGCAGGGTGAAGATACGCATGATCTTCCGCTTATTCCTACATTAATAAACCAAAAGAGTTGTCATCACTGAAAGTCAATGCTGACGTTTATTTTTTTTGGGGGGGGGGGTTCCAGGAAACAACATGCCTACAACCAGCATGCCGCACAGATTGTTTTCATGTACAACTGATTAACTCTTAATTTTCACATATCGATACTATTGGTCAGTCCACAAGTACGGGTGTTATTTTAAAAAAATTGCTGACCTATCTCAATTGTTAAAAATGACTTGCGCTCTTTGATGATGCAATGGTTACGTTTGAACAAGCATGCTGTTTTGGGGCTTTCCTGAAAAGCTTCTGTCGTGAGTGATAATAGAGAGGAAAATTCTCAAGGTTCATAAAATCCAAAATATTGAGGCGACCATTCTGACATTTGCAAAAGTTAAAGTTGACGTACACATACATTTTGATGGCGCTTTATCAGTTTTGTGACATCAATGCGACATTGAGCCTTTTCTGTGGAGACGAAAATATATAACGTCTGTCAAATCCAAAATGTTGGGGTGGTCGTTCTAATAGTTTCACAAGTTGAAGTGGGGATGAGCAGAGATGTGTACATGAATTTTGATGACAAGTGATCACGGTTATTAGCCCATAAGAGCCCAGACCCATTTTTCCAAAAGGTTCTGGTGGGTTAAAATCAGACAAAAAGTTTTGAAAAAAGACACTGGGGAGTTCAAACTGTTTGTTACAGTGGTGTCACCGTGGGCTCTTATGGGTTAGACAGTATTTATTTATTTATTTATTTTTGATTAAGCGTTTTAGACTGTCTACATTAAGGTTGAGCTGGATGAATCATGGTATGCTATGGTTGATTACTTCTTTTACTTATAACTAATAGAAACTAAATGCTGAAGCAGGGGTCGACAACCTGCGCCTCTGGAGCTGCATGCGACTCTTTTATACTTATGTTGGGGCTCTGCGTAGGTTGGGAAAATAAATTATACATGTCCAATGCCAGTGTATGTTATTTGTCTCACAAATGTGTATCACATCTTGTTATGCTCTTTGACTGTACATTAGTTGGCAATGTTGATATGAAAATACTTGTGAAATGAAAATGGAAGGAGAGGAAACAGCCTTGTTATTTTTCCTCGCGACACCACAACTTCTTTCTTCAGACCTTGTGCAATTTCGGTGATCAGACTTCGCATTTGCCTTCTTCATACACGTTTGAGAGCACCTGACGTGTTAGCAGGTAGATTTGACAGGCGGCATACCAGCGACACCAAAACTGCACACTATCTGAAGAATGTATTTTATTTGTGTTTGTTAGTTTGTTTAATTGTGGATGTAAATTGTAAGATTGTGATCTCAAAATATTTAAATAAAACTATGTATATATTGTTTGATTTTTCGTCGCTCAAAATAATGCGTCACACTGTCCGACAGCCTGGCAAATAAATGAAATGGCTCTTTGAGTGTAAAAGGTGGCAAAATGGTACCTTAAAAAAAATGGAATGCCGCTTTGTACAGTATTAGGGTGACCACGTAACGATCGGAATGGTGAAGTAGAAACAGAGTGTGCTCACTTTCTGGCGTACATGAGCAGGCCGAAGCTGACCAGAATAACCAGCAGGTAAACGTTGGTGGCCTCGTTCCAGGCTTCATGAACAGAGTAGTCGATGGAAAGGCCGTGACTCCCCATGCAAAACACGGCGTAAGCGCTCAAACGATGAACTGTCTGAAAAGCTATGCGCTGGCAGTCGTGTACAGGAATATAAAACACTTGATACAATAAAGTAACCGACTTGTATTGTGCTAAACGGCAAATTAGCTTCTCTCCATTGTAAACACAATTACGTCACACATTTCAGACACTTCCTGTTTCCGGTAGACTAATTTTCAAAATATACAATGTAAAAAAGATCGAAATAAATGGCCAATGTATTTTCTCCATGTATTCCTAAAATACATGTTTACACTGACCACACAATGTAAGCAAGTAAATAAATAAATATGCAGTATTGCCACACAAGCTAATGGACTTTTTCATTGTGATTTGTGAGCGAATAAAAACAAGTACAGTCCAGCCGACATGTTTTCTCATCATTTTAATGTTATAATCAGCAAAAGATTATTTACAGTTTCACTGCATCACACTGTTACTTTTTTCTTTTCAAAATTATCTGACTTTTTTTTTTCCCAAAATAGAATTTTACTACTAAAACACTACAGAATATATATATATATATAACTGCATTGAAAAGAATTGCTGCAATTTAAAAAAAAATATTCAGGGGAGGTGAGAGCCAAAGCTAGAGTATATGATAAAGTATCAAGGCTGTTAAGTGGTTCAACACATCACAGTAGAAGTTGAGAGAACAAAAAGGTTGTTACTTACAATGCCATCAAACATTGTACATCAAACAGTAGTATTACTAGCCTGATGTTAGAAATCAGAAACCATGGCAGCTGTGTCCAAGACATGAGCACACTAACCTGTCCTAAGACTTGCGGGAGACCGTCAATTCATTCACTGAGCGTGGTAGAATTACATTCAGAGTGCTATCAGGAGGGAAACCAGGTTTAAACAAATACAAAACAAGTCTAACTATGATTAATTTCAATAGCGCCACTACTCTTGCAAGACACACAAAGGGAGAGGGAAAACACTGAATTAAACCTTTACCGCTGGGGATAAGCAGAAACAGGCAGTAAATATGCATTTATTTACAGCACACATACATTTGGTTAACGGCTGTAGTGGAAAAGGAGGACCGCTGAAGTTTACTGAATCATATAGAGGAGGCGCCGGCGATAACATGCAGTGTGTTCAGTGCTCCACCTAAGCCTTGACGATGGAATGGAACCATAAGCTAGAAGAACAGCGCGGATCTAGCTCAGCATAGTCCGCTTCTGTCCTTCCACCTGAAGTCTCAGTTAGCAGCGGGTTAGCTTAGCGCAGCTAAATTCAGCTTCTATAATGTCCAAGCTTCTCAACTTACAGTAGCCAAATTTAGATGTACATTAACTCACAAAAATGTTGGACTTAAGCAGTGAAATTTCAGGATGAATCCAAAATGCACAGTAACCCTTACCGGTGAGCTTAATTTAGTTATCCCTAAGTGTCAAACTGTTTCATGGTTCAGTACTTTTTGCTAGGGATCGGCGAGTAGTGGTAACAGGTATCGGTATTGGGCAATACTGGCCTTATTTTAAGGTATCGGGTACTCACGGAAGCTGCCGATACCAGCCACTGAGACTTAAGGCAAGGGAGGAAAAAAACAGAAGTCAAATAACTTCTTAGCAGTTTTTGGTGCTACACTGCGGCAGATTGGCACATTGGTGAATCATCATCTTTATCAAAATGTTCCATTGTGATAAATGAAATTGTATAGATCAAAAGAAGCACAAATATCTGTACTTGGTATCGGTGAACACTCAAAGCGTGAATATTCATATTGGTATCTAGCGTTGAAAAAAAAAAGTGGGACCGAACATCCTTACTTTTGCTCAACTTATGGTTCTGGTACAGGGAGCTGAACGGCAAAATTCACAATTTCGATTAGTGGATCATCAGCCTGTTTTGAATTTTGCTCTTAAAGGGGACATCATGGCAAAAAAAAAAAATCTTTACAATTATAGATGGTCATTTGATTAAAATTGTGTTGGAGGAATCAGAATAACACAGATGAATCATTCATCTCAGAACTCTGCCAGTTTATCTTATACCGTCCTGTGCTGTCCAATGAAATTAATGTCAACCTTCCCTCAGGTTTGCATTGTGAACACCACGAGGCCAAAGCCAGAAAACAGGTGAACTGTTGAAGTTCGCGATGGCACCTTGATGTCATTTTCAGACAACAGTAGAGGGCGATATGTATTTTTTTTTTTTTTTTTTGCACAATAATAATTATTTTATTTTGGGGAGGTGCGTGGAGTTTACTGTGTTACCCTATTTGGGACACATTAAGAATTAATATTCCACCTGCACAGTTAAAGTGCATTTTAGTTTCATGCTGAAATGTCACGTCAGCCCAAATATCCCCCACGTTTTGGAAGGAATCGTCAAACCCTGTCAAAGTGACCATGTTTATCACTCGCTCCTCGAAGATCTTCGTAACAGCAAAGTCAAAGGGTGGCGTTGTCTGACACTAAACTAAGTAAGCATGCTAATCTCTACAGTGGCAAGAGTAGGCGTTAGAGGGAGCACTGATTCCTTCACTGGTGTCACATGAGTATGTCCAGGTCGTCACCGTGGTCATCTTCCTCGGTTACCCGCAGCGATAGCACCTCCTCATTAAGGAACAGGCCGCTCAGACGCTCCTTGCGGGCCTGACGCTGTTCCTTCAGCTGACGCTTGCGCAGAGCCTTCTGCTGGAGCTTGCGCTGCTTCGAACGTTTCTATAAAGAGGCGAGGAGGTGACCAGAGACGCTTAGCAAAACACATTTGGGCCGGCGTATTAAAAAAGCAGTCTTACTTTGGAGTCTCTGATGCGTTCGGCAGCGCTGGAAAGATTGCCATCGCTGTGGGCTCTGCTAATGTTAGCAACACTGCTTCCGCTGCAGGCGGAAGCTGTTCCACCTGGAGGACAACACGACAGGAAATTTGTTAATATAAAAGCTTGACCAATTTAAAAATGGGTTAAATGTTAACAGAACATTGCTTAACTTCAATTGTCAAAATCTGAATCGCATATTTCTGTCGCCCTCCATGAAAGCAGACAGATGTTTTTTTTCTTTTTGTTTAATCAAATAAGACTTTTGCAAACACCGGCTTTCACTTTGAAAAACAATGATCAAAATGTTTACCTACTTTTCTGGCATTTTAAAAACCAAAACAGCGACTACGATTTTTCTGTTCGAAATAAGGTCTTGTTTATGAATAAAGTGATGGAATTTTTTCAAACCAATTCATCTATTAAAATAACAAACAAACAAAAAAACAGATTATTCTATTGTTAAAATAGCATTTAGTTACAGCCATGCATGGGCGAGATGGGAGTGCATGAGTTTTAAATGTTTATAATTACCACAACATCTATGCTAATGTCTGTTAGCCTGTCCATGGGATTTCACATTACATATTAGCATTAAGATAGTGAAGATTCATGAGACAAAATTATAGCACTACAGCAAAAGTTCGAGCACTAGCGGATTCCCGTATCTGTATCTGTAGATTTTTTTCTATACAGTATTTTGATTGTTTTTGTTTTGAGTGTGTGTGTGTGTGTGTGTGTGTGTGTGTGTGTGTGTGTGTGTGTGTGTGTGTATCAGCGTTTTTGTAAATAAACATTTTTTTGGGGGTGGGTGGTGGATTTAAAAAAATATATCTTGAATAAGAATTTTTGGGGGGTGTGTTTTTGTGTTTGAAAGAATTTAAAGCCAAAACTCTTTCTACCCAAGATTGCAAAAACTGAAACCGACAAAGAGCAGTCAAATTGCAAGAAGTCCTTTGGGGCACCCCGATGGCGACCATACCTGCGACAGAGTTGGAGGCCGTGGAGCTGGTGGAGGAGCTGGCCGAGCTGACCATGCTGGCGTTACTGCTGCTGGCCCCGCTGATGCCGCTCGCGCTGGCGCTGCTGTGGCTGCTCCTCTTCCAAGCCTCCCTGGTGCTGCTGGCCCTCTGCCTCGGGCCGTGTTCTCTGATGTAGTTACGTACCTGAGGATGGCGCGTGGACACACCAATGTTTTTACGTCCAAATCCTTCACTCATTTCTTAGGGCCCTCATCATGATGTAAGGAGTTTTATATGGTGGGCAATATAGTTCTCTACAGTTACTCAGTCAAGGGAAAAATTGTACTTGAACACTGCCCGGGCATGCCACAAATTACATCGTACCCGATCAACATCAACATTATATTGTTTTAGACGAGTTGATTATACAAAATGAAAATAAACAAAGCACTGCCCAGCCGCAGTGTGATGAGTTGCTCTACTGATTTTTTTTTTAACACTTTAACAAACAATACAAAAATATTCACCCTTTCTATTCCCTTTGGGCATTTCTAACAATAGTTAATAGTCTACTTTTTTTTTTTTTTAACACTTTAACAAACAATACAAAAATATTCACCCTTTCTATTCCCTTTGGGCATTTCTAACAACAGTTAATAGTCTTTACATATGAACCTCGTCACTTGATGGTTTAAAAAAAAAAAAAGGCAGAGAAATTACTTTTTTTTTAAAATAGCAACGTTTTAGGGACACTGAATTTTCGTAGTGTTTTTTTTCAACGGATTGAAATATTGCAGAAAAGATGAAACACTGTACTACAATGGTGACTATTTCTATTTTCAGCTCATCTGCATTGGTTGGCCCACCGTAATGTGATTTAAACAAGAAGAAAACATGTTCTACTTTAAATCACTCCTTTAGAAACATCCTCTCCTAAACAGTTAAAATGGCATCTTTGAAACTGATTATTTGCTTTCTCAACTACTGAATGGCCCAGCAGGTTATTCAAAGTATGAAGTTATTTTCACACCACAACTTGCGAATGCTTGTTGTGCTGAAAATCAAACAATACTGTGAAAATGGACAATCACTTTTCTGTAATTTTGAGGGAGTGGGGGTATTTTCGAGTGGGCAAGTTGCATTGTGCTAAACATTGATGGTGCTATAAAAGGAAAAATCTATCGTTACTCCACCTTCTAACATCACACCAAAATGGTGCATAGTTTGGTGTGTATTACCATAATGGCACCTATGACACAAAAATGAAAAGAATCCCAATTTTATGGGGCAGTGTTTCGTGGCCCACCTGCTTGAGTTTCTCATCAGTGAGACAGTTGAGCTCAATGATGAACTCGCTGTCCGTGGGGGAGATTTGAGCGCAGGGGTCGATGATCTTAATGATGTCCAGTTGCTCTCGCAGGCCCATCTCTGTGCTGACCTTACGACTCAGGTACTCGATGTATTCCACCTGAAAGACAAAGCAGGTGTCGGGTCGGTGTGCCACTTGCTGGTGTCCTGACATGTGAACAAATCTGCCAGGTTTCAGTAGCATTACTTGTTCATCATTGGTCATCGCGCTCCACGGCAACTCATCCAGGTTACGGTGAGGGTGGGGCTTTGGTTTCCTTTTGGGAACCAAACAAGGTGAATTGGGGATACTCGGGATGATGTCAGACAGAACATCACTGTTGCTCGTGATGTCACTTCCTGGCAGCTGGAGGACAGATGAAGAATGTGAGGAGTTTAGCAACGCACACAGACCTCCAACAAGGCCAAACACGGTAACCGGATTATCAAAGATTTTAAAATACCTGACCAGTCTTACACATGGACTGTACATAGATGTGGACTTTTCATTTACTCATATTGTAGGAAGTTGAGTAAGCATTAGGAATACGACTTGTAATTTTCTTAGGTAGTCTGGAAAACCCAAATACCGAGGCTAGGCAAAATTACCTCAATCTTTAAAATGCTAAAGTAATTTCAATCAAATATTCAACTTTGATTGATTGATTAGCACCTACCTTTTTTGCAAATCCGATTGAGAAAACAGAGTTATTCGAAGTGCTTGCAACAAAGAATGCTCGTCTTACACAACGGCGTGAAATTCATTGGCTTTTCGAGACAGAAACGGTATCATTCCAATTTTCGGGTAGATTTACGTGCCCTATTATTTTGTTTTGGCCACTCAAACAACCGTTTGCCTGAATGTGAACAGTGCATCACCACACAGCGCCGAGGCATTTCACCGAATAACTTAATAACAATGGCAAGGAGCAGTTAATGGGACAATCGATACTGCATTACAATGGCTGACTGGCGACTCTGCATTCTGGAAATGACGCCACTCGCCGGAGATTTCCGGACAAAAACATTTTCGTTGTTAAGTGCATTGCTACGGGTCTAACGAAAGTATGCTTGAAATAGTTTTAGCTCTAAGTATTACTCTGAGATGGGTGGCCAAGTTTACTATCTTTAAAGACGAAGCAATGACCGTCCATCTTGAGTGGATTGTTCATTAGAATCTGTTCATTTAAATCTACACCATCACACATTTCTTTCCGGGATGAGACAAGACCCCTTTACATAGTTTTGTTAAAACGATTGACAAAGCTCTTGTGCCACAAACCAACCTGCCACTCAAACTCGCTATCTGACCAGTCCCAGTAGGTGCTGATGGAGGAGGAGACATCACTGCAAACACTGCCCTCGGGAAAGAGGTCCAAGGATGTCAGCTCTTGGTCATCCAGCAGGGAATAGCAATCATCCTGGTCACCCACAGATACAGAAGAGAAGAGCTCCTCGCTGCACTCGGAGCTGGCCACGCTTGTGCCACAGGAAGTGAGGTTCCACCTGGAGATCAATAAGTCAAGGTATCAATTCAAGTGGCAAGTCTTCAGAAATGGACTAGCGAAAAAAAAAAAGAAAAAGCTGAGTATGATACATGTACAAAGCTTCAAATGGGAATACAGAGGCTCGTCGATCTATGATGGAGATCCATTCCTACTACCTGAGTTTCTATGCGCCACACAACATGTTGCCTGTGCATTTGTTTTTTCAGTGGTCCAATGGGTCACCACCACAGGACAGAGGATTACCGCCAGCTCCCTTGCTTCATTTCTTAGTGGAACTCTGCAGCTCTTGATGCAATAGACGGCAACTTAGATCCTCAGCGACCCATCCTCGACACTCGCAGTTACCCTCTGGCACACACTTCAGGACATTCAAGCTAGAACCAACAGTCTAAGAAACCGTTTTATTATGAGAGCTTTGATTGCACTGACGACTGACAACTGTACATTTACGAGGAATGTACTGTTCCTCTTTTGCATTCTGCATTCTAGCATACTTTAATTACAACCAGGGTCCTCTTTTGTTATTTAGTGTGTGAGTTTTTAGAAAAAAACTTTTGTGTGAGTGTGTGTGTGTGTGTGTGTGTGTGTGTGTGTGTGTGTGTGTGTGTGTGTGTGTGTGTGTGTGTGTGTGTGTTAGCCTTGGTTGCTCTCAGTCCCACTCTACCCGACTATGGTATGGTGTTACCACAGGGTTCACTTTAGGGGCCCTTGTTGTTTTCATTGTATTTGCTGGCCATGGGTTGCATCTTACAAAAGCATGGCATTTCCTGCTATGCGAATGACAGTCGTTCTTACTGTCATTCGCACTGTATGTCCCATCGAGCAAAAAGGATGCTTTCTCCTGGAATGACGTCCTAAATGTTATGGAAACCCCCCCCCCCCCATGTCTATTATTAGAACTTGTAGAAAAACACATTTTTATTCTGTAGCTTTTGACTTAGCATGAGACGAGGCAATGTTTTACTGTTTGATCGTGTTTGCTGTTTTTGTGCTTCTAATAGTCTTTATTTTTGTATGTCTAATTTTTACGCCATGTACAGCACTTTGTACGCAGGCATAGTTGTTTTTGAAGTCCTCTATGAATAAAGTTGAGTAATATTTTATAAAATAATAGAGACGACAACATTGCTCCACAACAATTTTGATACGAATTTGTTAGCATAATCTTTAAAAAAAAACAATAAATATAGAATGCATTGGGTGTCTACATTGTTGGAGTGAAGTCAGGGGCATTCTGATTCAAGCATTATTGACAGCGAAATTGAATTGTCTCTTGGTAAATGTTAAACTGGGCTCCTCCAGGGCATAAAGAGTTCCACATCTTCACAAGGTTCCCTTGACAATATTGTACTCGCCTGTTGCCATGGAAGCGGCGTAGGGGGTCAGTCCTATGACAGGATGAGAGCTGACAGCTGAAATCACTGACGTCCAGGGTCCCCACATCGCTGAGGTTGGCTCTCTGGGAGAGAAGAGGGAACGGCTCCTCTGGGGCCAGAAACTTCTCATACTCCTCTGGGGCCAGAAACTTTTCATAAAGAGAGTCTGACATGGTGTAAATGTACCTGAGGAAAAAATATTCATGGTCAATAAATACCACCAAACATGTTGCATGAAGCATTGCATTAAGTTTCATTCGAATATTCATCCTATTTGATTTTAGCTATATCATCAATTGAGAAATTTCCTCATAATGACCTTTCGGACATTCATCGTTCTACGCTAAGCAGCTGTTTTACAGGACCGCTTATACGTTATATACATATGTGCAAGTTGCTGTTTTAACGTCACCGTTTAAAGATCCATTAAAACAAATCTGCTGCCGTTTATTAAATATAATAGAACGACATATCAATATTGTCGATAGTGCAATTTTCGGTCAGTTATTGTTTTTATGAGTAAATCATAACGTGTTGTTTGTACACAGCGCTGGCCATAATCGTTAGCTTTCTGCTAATGCTAAATGCCAACGGGGCGTTGACAAAAGCCATCAAATTATACCAAAGTGATATTGCTGACCTACGAGTTTTTCTAAACATATTAACTACACATTAAATCGCTGTGAGGAAATACTCAGACAGAAAACACCAACCTATTGTCGTTCAATGTCTAAGCTTTTTCCGCGACCTCCATTTGCAAATCCTACCCACCGACGAGTTCCATCGCCAACGCGAGAAATGAATCGTCGCGAGATTTACTGTTCACAAAATCATGTGACGTAACGCGGAAGTTGTCACTTACTCTAAAAGAAAACATGACTAACTTGACTGTTATTACAGTTTAGAGGCTATTAAGTACAACATTGAAGCCAGTATTTAAGAATGTCTTTGACCCAAGAAAAGGACACAAGCTTTCTGGGTGGCAGAATACCACCTGAAATTGAGTCGATGTCAAAAAACCTAAAGGATGTGGAGCAAGAGATGTTTAGAAAATTACTGAAAGGTACTTTGCTCGTTGAACGTCATTGGAGTGTACTAAGAAATAGATTACCGCTTTAAATACCATGTTGATTTATATGCAATCAAATGCTGTGTTTTGATTGTGCATTCTGTATTTTTAGCCGTGGTGAATGCCCTAGAGGGGAAAGACTGCAGGGACACGATGAAGTCAATAGCAGAGAACAGTGTCTTTCCACAGGAGAAGCTCAGTCACATTGTGGCTGGAATGTACAGATTGTTGTCCGAGGCCGTTCGGATACCGCAGTCATTACTTAAACAGGAGGTGAGCCTGTTTTCTTCAGTGAAAATTACGGGTTACACCTCTGGTTCAAAATGTGATGGATTAAACGTTTATGTACTAAATTAAAAAAAAAAAAAGTTTTTGGGGTGGTCAGAATTTTTTTAGTGAACTGGAAATGTGACCTTTTAAAACTTAACTTTTATCAAATCCACACAAAATCTTAAATTATGTTTATACGTTATTATTGTTACAGTATTATTGTTTCCCTAAGTTGTTCTTTTTCTTGATGTTTTGAGGTCCACAAAACTGTATATCAGGATCAAAATCCTGAATTGCACCTTTATTTGTATGTCTCCTTCTGTTTGGGTTCTGTGTATGTACAGGTATTTTACACCACTGTACTGCATATAATTTACACCACTTGATTTCTACAACACTTCTCTTAAACTTGTCCCATTAAGGATTTTTTAATCCCATTTGATTTGTGACAGTTATTTTATGTCACTTTTTTAAAAAAAATTCCAGATCATATTAGGGGACTCATAATGCTTACAATAGTAATTAAGAGAAGAAACAGTGCCAGAATGTATAAACGATATTGTACATCCAAATACTACTGCCATTTGTTTTAAGGACGTATTTGGAAATATTTTGAGTAACAAAATAACAATAAAAGGGCCTCTTACTATAACATCAGAAGGGATTTTTTTCCGTTCACAGTGGAGAGCACGACTACCTCACAGTCATGCTGGTCTAGCAAATCTCAGCTCCAGTCTTTGTTGTGGAGTATGCATGTTTTCCCTGTCCAGATTGTTTTTATGTGAACTTTTTTTAACTTTATATTTGGTGCAGAGTTGTGTTTTAACTATGAAAGCAACTGTCTCATAATACTTATGTCCCTTTGTAGGCCTTTAAAGAAGATCTTCGAGAACTAAGGCTAGTATCAAGACTTGATTACACCATGTGGATGTATTGCTTCAACTTTCCTTCCTGCTTGTAACTTTATTGTCTTGACACCAGGATACCAGAAGACTTTATCACAGATTTCTGCAGTGTGGTTTTTGGAAATCGGTGTGTATTTACAATTCAGTCTTTTGTTGCATCTTCGATTGCCTATCACCCTGTCAAGAATAATACAAATACATTTGTGGTAATGCTGATGTTGGAGCAACTGCTGAGAAGTTATGGTTTATTCCTCTGTAAAGCGTAATGTGTCATAGCCTACTAATGAAGAGCTATTCCTTGCTGGCTGATGACATGACCCACAGAGAGCATATGCAGATTGAACATAACTGGGACAAGGGCAGACCCTTGAGGGACACCACAGGAGACGGGAAGTATGACTGGAACTGATTGTGCTATGTAGCCTCCCTCCACATTTCATAGGTGGGATTGAGGTCTGGGCTCTGAGGGCGACGCTCCAGTTCCATTTGTGATGTATACCTTGGGTCATTCTCACATAAGAAAACTCAGTGACAACCTAAACCTAGACTCGCAGCAGATGTCTTAATGTTTTTCTTAATATGTCAACAAATAATGTATTTATTTTTTGTTAATACCATTCGCTTGAACAACTGTAGCCGTACAACTCTGGAAGCAGCAACTTCTCAGAGGGATCCCCATCTGCCTACAATAAATGAATTTAAATGGAGAGTGGATGTTGCCATTTCTACAAGGTAGACTGCAAAGGAGGCTAAACAGCTTACATACATTTTTCTGCTGTGGGTCTTGGAGAGTAAATTTGACGCCTGTGTCTCCTCAGCTCGTTGGCGAGAGCACTGCAGCCTTCTGTCTTGATGCACCTGAAACTCTCGGATGGAAGTTTTCACCAATTTGAGGTATCCGTACTTAGATTATTTGTTCAAATTTGATCTGGAATTTGGGCATTATCCATGTGCAGTAAAATAAACCGCACTGTTACTATGGGAACAATTCAGCAATATCAAAATGTACATTGTATTATCATTGTTTCCAATGAATAGCGGTCCCAACAAATGCACGCACACACGCAAGGCAATACAAGTTGCAACATTTTAATACAGTTTATAAACTGCTGAAACATGTATAAAGCCAGAATGGTCTGTAATATAATGTACTGTATAAATTGTTGCTGTCACCAAGTCTGAAAACTAAAACCCAAGCGTTCTCAAAATGAGTAAGATACCTTGGTCGTTAGGGGGCGCCACACTCCATTCAGGGCTCCTCAATTCAGGTTGGAGGCTGATGCATGAATTGAACGCTTGTGCTGCAGCACCCAGTTGCAAGTGTCATTCAACCAGGTTACAGAATAGTAGCAGGGCATCAATGTCTGATGTGTACATTTATCAACTAACATGTTATTGTTTTCCTGTGCAGGTGCCACCCGCTAAATTCCAGGAGCTGCGCTACAACGTGGCTCTGATCCTCAAAGAGATGAATGATCTGGAGAAGAGGAGTATTCTTAGGATCCAAGACTGATAAATGATCCAGAACTGATGACAGCGTCACGAGTGTTAAGAGAACTTGATTTCCTTTTTCTGACTTGCTTCTTACCTCTTCATTCTGTACACTAACCAAACACAACATTAGGTATGCGTACACAATGTAATGTGGTACTATTAAAACAAATGCAACCTTTACTGGATGATTTGATTGATGGATAATATGATGGTGATGCAGATCTTGTCGTGATCATACAGGAGGATTACTTAATGATGTGGCCGGGGTGTGTGTTTTGGGTGTCAGTAGCATGTGCGCATTACCTGGTGTCCTGTGGTCAATATAACTTTAATAAAGTCGAAACAAAAACACACGTGTGTCCAAGAATGAACATGAGCATGACTTTTTGTTTTGGTTGAAACATGACTCATTTTGAATGTCACTCTTAGCATGACTTTTTACCAATTAAACCACATTTTATTCATAGAAAAGTATTACAGAAATTCTTTATTTCATAATACAATATTACTGTGAATTTATGTTCTCAAGTTCCCTTCAGTATTTGCATCTGTGTTCTTGGATTGGGCGAATCATTTGTGTTCTCATTTTACTTACGTCAGTAACAGTTTGTCAGGGGGTCTGCGTGTATCTGCTGGATGTCCATCAGCCTTAATGTCTATGGGAGGGATTGAGTTCACAGGCTAGACTGGCCGACCTATATTATGTGATCCGTGACTACGGGCACAGATCATCGAAACATAATCACACCCACGGCTTCCAGATTACCAAACAGCTTCATTGCGAAACGGCAGGAAATACAGCTGATTTGCATAAGGTGATTCTGATAATGTCATAGAATCAAAATAATTTGGATGAAAAGAACTTCACCACAATTATCAAACTGTGCATTCTAGCTTCAGACTTTTAATATGAAGTTAAAAAGCACTTCTAGATGTTTTCATTAAATAGTCATGACCATCAGCTCTAATGATGTACACCATATAGTACAAGGAGTTTTTTTTTTTTGTTCTTATGCAAGTACTCATGCAACGACTGACCAAAGTTCATGTAAGTGACTACAAAGTGTCTTTCTCACCAAACACATCCACCGTCCATGGAATGCTTTGTCATACTTGTGTTGCTTATACACTTGCATGGATTGCTACATTTCAAATCACGTCAAGTTCACTGAAGATGAGATTGCCCATAGGTGTGACGTGAGCTTTCCTCTGATTGGTAGTTGCCAATATGTGGACATCTCGTGTCCCTTCATTGTGTAAGTTCTTTTCAAAATCAGCGGGCCCTCTGCATATTTCTGTCTGGACAATTTGCACTCTGAGGCGGCCACGGCGGCACAACACCTCCCTGGAGGAAAAATGTTCCTCCTCCAGGGAGACACCCAATGACAATGGGGTCACCCAGCGAGCATGCAGCATTTGTAGTTAGAGAACTAAACAAGTTCCCTGGCGGTGCGCAAATTAATCTGGTGCTCCATCTATACACCCATATCACTTGGCTTCTGGGAAGCAACTTGACATTGAGGTCTACTTTTTGTTTTCGATTTATTTTTTTAAACTTGTTTTTACAATCACAATTTTTGGCAGTCGATTGAGAATGGCAAATGAGCTGTTCTGTTTCATGACGATTTCAAACTATGTCCTTTTGAACAATTTCCATGTATCTGGTGATGAATCTGCAGACAGGAAACCCCAAATTACTGTCCTGACATTGCCCTAATGGCCGCAGCTGGAATCAGGAGCCCGTTCATATGGAAACCAATTGAACAGTAACACCGGCCAGCGTGGCTTGGAGAATGGCAACCGAGACTGAGCAGCCAACCCAACCACAGGTCTTCGGATTGACTAGCGAAGTTCAAACTTTTTTTCTGTCAGAGGTCAATGAGGCCCTCCGCTCCCCTGGAAGCAACCCAAGTGGTTCCCTCCCTCACCTCAGAAACACACACAAGACATGCAATGGACTAAGGTTTTTTTTTTGTTTTTTTTTTTTTATGTTTTCTGTCATTTGTCATTAGCCACCAAACTGGGTGTCAGTCAGTGACGGACTGACAGACCTTTGGTCAGTACTGACAGAGT